AGAAGAAAACTCTCCAGGACTATTACCATGAAAATATTTTATTGAAAAAGCAGAGGTAAGGTATGATATGGCGAGATGCCAGGTCAATACAATATGGCTCTTAACTCAAATACTCAAAACTATATTTAAAGAAACCAGAACGGTATTTGAATTAAAAAAATATATAAAATAACCGTGATATTAATTTCTTTTTCTTTGTCCAACATGCACTGCCGTAGGGGGCGGACTGATATCATGTAACAGGCGAACATTTTTTTTGTTTTGTTTCTGACGGCATTTTTTTTTCTTAATGTTCTGTCTTTTCAAGCTCAGTCAAACTCTCTAAATCTAACCTGTTCAATAAACTTCTTAAAAGTAACATCCTACACTTCACGTATCAAATTAAAAACGTCTTGGTAAAATCGTAGTAAAGAATTCGTAAAGGATTGTATCAAACAAGAAATCGGGAACACCAGGTATGACAATAATAATAATAATAATAATAATAATAATAATAATAATAATAATGATAAAAATAATGATAATAATAATAATGATAATAATAATAATAATAATAATGATAATAATAATGGAGAATTGAAATTTCTAGGGCACATAATGAGTTAAAAGGGCTTGGGAAATTTGATACTCACAGGACACAGACTGAAGGCAAGATGGACAGAGAAACACTACTAAAGGTATTAAGAGATAGAAAGGACAGGAACTGTGGAGAGACATGAAGCGACACGACACAAAGAAGAAGAAGAAGAAGAAGAAGAAGGTATAATTACAGAAACACACTTAATGGAAAATATGAGCAAGATTAATATTAGGCAAGCTCTAACAAAATACTCAAAATGGAAATCCTCAGGAAATAACCAACTTTTGGCTCAATCATCAGTCATCAATAAACAAAACTTTTGCAAAAACTTTATTCGTACCTATTAATAACCCCATTGAAATTACAGAATGGATCACTGAAGGTATGACATATCTACTACCAAAATCGGGTGAAACAGATGATCCAAAAAAAGTATAGACCAATAACATGTCTGCCCACTACATATAAATTGATCATGTCGGTCCTGACGAACTGTACTTACTATTTTCTCGATGAAAACAACATTCTTCCCATAGAAAAAAATGTCGAAGAGGTTCATAGGATTTCAAAGATCAATTACTAATAAATAAAATAATCCTGGAAAATTGCTGGAAAAAAGGTAGAAATGTTAGAACAGCTTGGATAGATTACCGTAATTAGTTTGATAGTGCCAAACTCTTGGATCCTTAAGGCTTTGGTAATGTACAAAGTCTCCTCGGTGATAGGACATTTCCATAAATAGAGCATAAAACTGGAAATTGTTTGAATATCCGACGAGGAATCTTTCAAGAAGTTTCCATGTCGTCCGTTCTGTTCTTTTTGTCCGTAACCACCTTTTGCATGAACTAAACCTCAATAAATATGTATACAAAGTATAAAAGAACGTGTGTAATCACCTATTCTACATGGATGATCTTAAACACCTTGCCAAAGACGACAATGAGTTGAAGGATCTCCCCAATTCTGTAAAATGTTTCAGTCATGACATTGGTATGGATTTTGCATTAGGTAAATATACAAAAGTAGCAAGAAAGGGAGAATTAGAGAAATGTACTTAATAGATCTAGATTTCGGCAAAAAGATTAGGAAGCTAGAACAAGAAGCCTAGAAGTACCCAGGAATTAGCGAAGGAGATGGAATACAGTATACCCCAATGAAGGAGAATATAAGAAAAGAATACTATAGGCGTGTGCGTCTGGTGTTAAATACTGAGTTGAATTCAAAAATAAAATATCAGCCGTAAGCACCTTGCCTGTTCCCGTGGTACAGTACAGATTTAACATCCTTAACTGGATCATGGTTAACATTAACCGAAAGTATTCAATCACCTACTCTACATGAATAATCTCAAACTCTTTAACAAAGAAGATAATACTCTTAAATGTTTCAGTGACGTTATTGGTATGTATTTTTGGATTAGATAAATGTACAAAAGTAACATTCCAGAAATGGAGAATAACAGAATAGCAGTCAACAGATCAAGATTTTGTCACAAAGATTATGGAACTTGAACATGAAGAAGCCTATAAGTACCTAGGAATTATCGAAGGAGATGATGTACAGTATACCTCAATGAAGGAGAGAGCAAGAAAAGAATACTACAGTTGTGTACGTCTGGTGTTAAATACTGAGTTGAATTAAAAAATAGAATATCAGCCGTAAGCACCTTGCCTGTCCCCGTGGTGCAATACAGTTTCAAAATCCTCAATTGGATCATAGTTGATATTAAACGAATGGTCGCCAAAACTAGAAAGCTACTACCTTACTACCGCATGCATCATCCCAAGGCTGATGTTGATCGTCTGTATGTGCTCAGATCCGAAGGAGGCAGTGGATTAGTTCAGTTAGATCTGTCTTACAAAACCACAATAGTCGGCCTTCAAATATAACTGGAACCTGGATTATGAGCTACCTTAAAGA